TGATGCCCCTGCCGGTGCTCTGCCCCCTCGCGGGACCTGCTGCTTGTGGACACAGAGGCAGCCACCGTCACCAACCTGACAGCAGGTATGTTGTGCCAGGCTGCCTGTGGTGCCCTGGTGAGCATCCGCAAGCGCTGGCATGCTCTCTGTCCCCAGGATTGCTGGAAGGGTGCTGGGAGCTGCTCACCCTCCAGTGGGACCTGCTGGTGGCCACCTGCTCGGCCCCGCACCGCCCTCCCAGCCTGGTGAGCAGAGCCCTGGCACCACTTGGCACAGCAGGATGTGGCACGGCAATGCACGGCTGGGCATAGCACAGCATGACCCGGCACAGCATGGCATGGTGCAGTGGGTTGACCTTGGCTGGGTGCCAGGGTCACACCAAAGCCGCTCTATCGCTCCCCTCCTCAGCTGGACAAATATAATGAAAAGCTCATGGGTTGAGATAAGGATGGGGAGAGATCACCGGCCAACTACTGGCACAGGCAAATCAGGCTCAACTTGTGGAAAAATTAAATCCTCCATGGGCTGCAGGTGGAGATCTGCTGCACCATAGATCCCCAGGGTGCAGGGGGACAGCCTGCCCCACCACAGGCTGCACCAGGGGCTGCAGGGGAATCTTTGCGCCTTCAGCACCTCCTGCCCTCCTGCTGCATTGACCTGGGGGTCTGCAGGGTGGCTCCGCTCACATCTTCTCGCTCCTCTCCAGCTGCAATTGCACAGGTGTGGGTTTTTTATTTTCCCCTTCTTAAATAAGTTATCCCAGAGGTGCTGCCATCATCGCTGATGGGCTCAGCCTTGGCCAGCGGCAGGTCCATCTCCCTCGGACACGGGGGAAGCTTCTGGCAGCTTCTCACAGAAGCCACCCCTGTAGCTCCCCTGCCCCGCTACCAAAACCCCGCCACGCAAACCCAATACACGTGGCAAAGCGTGGTGTGGCACAGCACAGCCCAGCATGGTGTGGCGCAGCCAGATCCAGCATGGCATTGCATGGCACAGTGGGACAAGGCACAGCAGAGGTTGGCATGGTCAGGTACTGTGCAGCATGGCACAACATGGCACAGGACGGCACCACAGAGCACTGGGACCATGGGCACATTGGGGCCAGTTACACCCCAGCAGGGGCCAGCTGCCCTGGGGCAGGGGTGCCCGGGTACCACCCGCTGCCCATCACCAGGTGGTGGCGGTGCTGCCACCAGCAGGCCAGGAGCTGCCCCTCCGCTGGGTGCCAGTGGAGGATGCCCCAGCGGTGCCAGGAGTCACCTGGAAGACCCTGACAGGGCGTCCACCCTGCAGTGGGCAGAGCCCCACCACACATAGTGAGCACCCGGGGGCCCCCGCCGCACCTGGGTGCCACCTGGGTGCCGAGGGCCCTCGGGTGCGGGGGGTGGTCAGGGTGGTGGGTGCCCAGGGTGGTGGGTGCTGAGTGGGACCCCTTCCCTGGCACAGGTGCCCAGGCCTTTGAGGCCCTACTGCTGAATCCACCAGACAGCACAGCGCCGCACCCCCTTGTTGTGTGCCCCCATGGTGAGTGAGGGGACGGCGGGGACACCCCAGTGGCACTGGTGGCACCCTGGGTGATGTCCCTGCTGGCCCCAGGTGGTCCCCATGCTGTCTTTGATGCCCGCTGGCGCCCAAGCATGGCTGCACTGTGCCGGCTGGGCTTTGCCGTGCTCCTGGGTGAGTGCCGGGGTGCCCAGGGATGTGTGGCCCCTGTGCCCCACTAGGGACACAGCACCCACGCCCCCCCATCTTCCCAGTGAACTACCGTGGCTCCCTGGGCTTTGGCCAGGCCAGCATCAGCTCCCTGCTCTCCCACGTGGGTGAGCAGGACGTGGCAGACACTCAGGTGAGGGGCACTGGGCTGGGGGTGCCGATGCTGGGGTGCTGAGGGTGGGGTGCTGAGGGTGGGGTGCTGATGGTGGGTGCCCCATGGGCGCAGCTGGCAGTGGAGCAGGCGCTGCGGAGTGAGCCCCTGGACCCGCCCCA